AGCAGGCGAGTTGACACAGGCGAGGGCGAGAGCGCCCGCAGGCGAGGTCGAGCGCTCTAGACTGTCGATAGCCTGTCGACAGCTGGCCCTAGGGTTTCCCTATAAAAGGGAAACCGAGAGCTCCTCCCACGCTGCTTCTTCTCCTAGTCATTTCAGCGACGGCAGCGAATTTCTTCTTCCCCTTTTTCGTTTCTTTTCTCCAACGCTCAAGTTCATTTGAGGGGAGATTTAAGAAGTTAAGAAGAGAATTAAATAGGGGTATTTGAGAGAGAGAGAGAGATTAATATTGTAGCTACAGTATTAATTAGTATTTATTGAGGAATCTCAAGTTTGAGATTTGCTCTTGTATTATAATTTCTTGTTGACTAATAAGAAATTTATTGTGTGGCTCCCAGGGACGTAGGCAGTTACCGAACCTCGTTAAACTTGGTGTACTTTTCTCTATACTGCGTTTCTGCTGTTTTAGGGGTTTTGCGTAGCCCCGACGAGTAAATACCCAATAACTGGTATCAGAGCGTGAAACGATCTAGAGGAAGTCAGATTCGAGTGGGAGTCATAGCCGCAGATGAAGGAAAAATAAGACTTAAGAAGTTTGATGGAACAGATTTTGAATTCTGAAAAATATAGATAGAGGGTTATCTGTATCAGAAAAATCTGTATCAACCTCGGGGAAGAAGCCAGAGTCGATGAAGGAAGATGAGTGGATCCTCCTAAACAGACAAGCCCTCGGTGTTATCAGACTGACATTGACTCGTAATGTTGCGTTCAACATAGCAAAGGAGAAGACCACGACGGGTCTTATGGCAGCACTCTCAAATATGTATGAGAAGCCATCAGTCACGAACAAAGTTCATTTGATGCAGCGGTTATTCAATCTGAGAATGGCGGAAGGCGTCAGTAGCACAACACCTAAATGAACTCAACATCATCACAACCCAATTGAGTTCAATTGAAATTGAATTTGATGAAGAAGTTCGGGCATTGATACTTTTGTCCTCCCTACCAGAGAGTTGGAACGTTACAGTCACAGCTGTGAGTAGCTCGTCGGGAAGCAACAAGTTAAAATTCGACGACGTTTGTGATCTGGTTCTCAGTGAGGAGATCCGACGGAGAGAGTCGGGTGAAGCTACAACCTCTTCAGTATTGCATACAGAGTCAAGAGGTAGAAATTCAATTAGAGGGAACGGGCGAGGCAAATCAAACTACAGAGGTAGATCAAAAGGCAAGAGGTCCAAGTCAATGAATCCAAGTAACAGCTCGAAGGCTATCGAGTGTTGAAATTGTGAAAAGACGGGGCATTACAAGAATCAGTGTAAGAGTGCATAGAAGGAGAAAGAGGCGAAGGCAGAGGTAATGTTACTTCCACATCAGGAGACGACGCAAAGAGCAATGAGAAATCTTGGGTGTTAGATTCAGGAGCGTCATTCCATGCTACTTTTCAGAAATAATTCTTCGAGAAGTATGTTCCCGGAAGTCTTGGATACGTATACCTTAGAGATGTCAGGCATATTCCTGACCTGAGAATTAAGTTGAACGGGTCAGTATGGGAACTAAAGGATGTCAGGCATATTCCTGACCTGAGAAAGAACTTAATATCCGTAGGTCAGTTGGCTTGCGAAAGATACACCACAACCTTCCATGGAGATGATTGGAAGATCTCAAAGGACGCAATGACGATTGCCCAAGATAAGAAGACTGGTGAAAATTAAGTTGAACGGGTCAGTATGGGAACTGAAGGATGTCAGGCATATTCCTGACCTGAGAAAGAACTTAATATCCGTAGGCATATTCCTGACCTGAGAAAGAACTTAATATTCCAGAAGTCTTGGATACGTATACCTTAGAGATGTCAGGCATATTCCTAACCTGAGAATTAAGTTGAACGAGTCAGTATGGACCTGAGAATTAAGTTGTGGATATATGCTAAGTGACAGGCTGAGATATGAGTCCATTTGTAGGATTTTAAAGGTTACTCCTACTGAGGATAAAACAACAATATTGTTTTGCCCCTCGCAATGGAGGCCAAAAAATGCCCACTAATTAATGGAGCACAGAGGATTAGAGATAGATGGAAGAGAACTTCCCTGGAAGCAACTGAGAAGAATATGATAATGATTAACAAAGGAAAAAGCCCTAAAGGGACTAAACATAACTTAATTGAACAATATGATTCAGTAGCTGCTGCTGCTGCTGCTGCTGTTGATGTTGTTATAAGGATGAAGTAGCCAAATAATAATAATTAAGATAACATAAAAATAAATCCGAGTTTTATAAGTTAGTAATTAACAACATAATCATTATTCTTCATTAAATAATTATGCAAGTCATATAAATGCTGCAATGCATTAACCAAACAAATGGATTTGTGCCAGTCTTTCATGCCCTGGATTTTTAGCTTCGTATCTCAACAGATACATCTGGAACAAGTTCTCGATAGATCATAATTTTCCAATGTGCCAAGTCTAGTCAATATCTTATGAAAATAGGTAGAGAATCTAAATTTTCCTTCTGAATAACTAGATCCTATTAAATATAGGTATATAAACCTTTCCACTCTAGGAAACACATGGCATGCATACTACCAGTTTCATGAGTCACCATGAATATGCATTTCAAATGCTTCTATTTTAAATAAGTACAGTCATACCTGAGGTAATAGTACTCAGCATCGAAAGTTGAAATTTCAACTGCCGGTCATTTTGATTCGTCTCATCTACCACTCTACTAGAGTTTTGGTCCCCATTAGTCTGCTCATCCTGTCGAATATCCACACCCTCCAAATTGTCAGCTTCTAGAGATCTCCAGCTATCTGATGGCCGGTTCCAAGATTTGGCAAGTGATTTCTGAATCCCATCATTCCCATTGCTAGAGATTATGTGATCTCGGACTGAAAGAAGGCACATTACAACTGAAGACATGGATCCCTGAAACCAAAACAAAGAATACAGTACTTAAAACTGACTCAAACTCTGCACCTTCGAGTTATCTACGCATTTCACAACATATAAACAAGATAGGAAAAAAAAAGTGAGTAAGAACCTTAAATTGACTCAAGCCACGCACCAAAGAATTTGTTAATGACAGATTACTTTACCATTGGCGAAGAAATCGTAGACTAGCTATACCTGCTCTAGGTCCAAAAATTTAAAACAGGGTAAACCCATTTGGTCCACAGCCGAAGCAAACCCTCTTATATAATCCGAGCGCTTCTCGGGCACAAATTCTCCACCTTGAATCTGTAAACCATCCAAATACCAAAATTCATCAACAGACCCCCCACATTTTTCCATAAACTTCATAACATCAAATCACCCTTAATTTCACCTCTCCTGAATAAGACGGATTTATCCTCCCCAGAATGCCAAAAAACACAAATCCATCAAGCAAAAGTGCTCTTAATTCCTCATCAGATGCCTCCAGAGGTAAGTTAAAGTCGGGAAATAAATAGTTAAGCCACTCAACTACATCTGATCGCTTCTTAGCTGAACAATTACAAAAAAGAACCATTTTTATCAAAAAATTAAGATAAATTATGTACAATCTACGCAAAAAAGAAGAAAACTGAGCTGAAAACCTAACCGGCTTCAGCTTCCACATCCACGCTTCCCATTGTTCTTTCTTCTGCCCTAGATTCTACCTCAACGCAGCATTTTTCCTACAAGTTTACATGGAAATCAAAAACCCTAGGGCACAGATCAGAACTTTGTGAGAAATTTTGTGAGATTTTACATCAAAAGGGGCGAAATCGGGGGAAATGCTGAAACCCTAGCCAAATGTAGAATCTTAGATCTCTTTCTCACTTCTCCGCGTCGTTTAATTCGTGGGTTAAAAATTCCCAACGGCCGGCCGAATAATAAAAGAGAGCGATGGCGGATCTCGAAAGCTAAAAAAGGGCGGAGATTTTATTTTTCCTACAGTGAGAGTTTCTGGACGAATTTACAAATATGCCATTCACTGGGCTCGGTTACTGCGACGCCGAAGGGTAGTTTTGTAGATTTGATGACTCTCGAGGGCTTAAATATAAGAACATTAAACTTTTTAAAGAGAAGACAATGACGGAAAGATTGTCTTTCTGTTGGGGAGGAGGCAGCGGTGGACGTTAGAGTTGACGGACGTCATTTTCTTTTGAGCATGTTCCCGCCTTTTGGACCCGAGAATTTGAACGCGTGGCTTGTTGTGCGATGGGATCTTACTTGTTGAGGAGGGAGAAAATATTTTCAAATTTAAAAATGGATTATAAGAACAAAAACTATTAAGTATTACAATAACTTCACAACGAGTTAGGTCATCTCCAACCACTCTCCAAAATAGGAATCCCTTCAAATTTAAAGAGTGAATCCTCTCCAATCACTCTCCAAATTTGGAGATCTCCAATTTTTTACTCTCCAAAATTGGAGAGTGAAGCTAAAATTTGGAGACTCTCCAAATTACTATCCAACTTTCATTATTTATAATTTTGTCACTTTTACCTATTTTATTTCTTAAAAATTACCACTTTGTCATCATTCTTAGTAATTTAAATTAGATATTTAATTTTAAATAAATATAGTTAAAATTTTTATTAATCTAATATTTGAAATCATTATATATTTGGAAAGGTCTCGTTGAGATCTTTAAAATGAAACAAAGATTACTTTATTTTAGCATTATTTTATAAAATTATTATTTTTAAATTAAATAAATAAGTATCAAACATGAAATTTTAAATACATGGATCTATTTAACTTGCCCTATAAGAAAATACAAGCATAAATTACAATATTTAAATTACATTCCTTCGTTGTCATGCATCTGCCATAAATGTCTAATTTGCGTGTTTCAAAGTATAAAATGAGCTTCCCTATCTTGAATATTCCTATGTCGGTCAAGGAATCGTTGGAATCGTTCAGCATCATCAATGTCCATCTCTTCGGGTCTTGAAGATTCGTCGTGAACAATAATCTCTAGTTCTGCATCGCGTTCATCCTCCACAGTCATGTTATCATATTTTATGTTTGAGGTTTATGTTTGTGACCTATGGTATGTTGTATTAGAGGTTTATGTTTGCTTCCTTGTTCTATAGATATATGTTTTGTCACTGTTAATTTAGATTTTTTTTTTATATGTTGTATTGCATTATTAATATTTGGTTTATTTTAAAGCTCTCGTCGACACATTTCTAATGTTATAAAAAAAATTTCGAATAAATTATTAAAAATAAAATTATTAGTGTAAACTATGTCCAACATTATTAATTTATATGTTTTTTTGACAAAAAAAGAAAAAAAATATTTAGAGAGTGTGGGTTGGAGCAACTCTCCAAATTCCACTCTTCAAATTAGAATATTCCTAGAATATTCCAATTTGAATAGTGGAATTTGGAGAGTACGGTTGGAGATGGTCGTATGGCGACTCTTTAAAACAGAATTTAGATTTGGCCCTAGTCTAGTTTTTTAGTGTTTTGTTGATTAGCAAAAACTAGGCCAGAAATAACTCAGTTTGCTTTAGTTTAGTTTTGGTTCTAAACTGGTTTAATTGTGCATCAGGAGGGAGTTGTTCTAAATTTGAACCAGTTTAAAAATCAAGTGTGGCCAAATTTAAATGAGTGGCTTAAAAACATAAGTTTTCAATTTCTTAAATAAGATATAACAAACTTGCTATTGACCTTTTCTTCTCATAGTCTTCTTTTTATTTGAACTGGTTCTTATGATATTCTATGAAAATAAATTTTTTATGATAGCTCAAATTTCTAGTCGTAACCGCAAAGGCTCATAAGGGTTTTTTTGGTTACCTTGGTATTATAACTATCATAAATCTTTAAAATCCCAGAATTTTCATATTATTGTTCAATGTCTTGTTAAAAAGTATGTGTCCATATCCATTTTGCTCTTGTTTTCTAAAATTTAAATAAAGACTTATCGAGTATTGTCGTGGTAGGACTCATAAGAGCATGACCTAACAAGTAGTGTACTAAGTAAAACAGCATTGAGGTTACTGAATTGGAGACAATAGACCTTGTGGAGAGGAGTTGGCTCATATCCACTCTGAATTTTAGGTCGTACAACTAATGACGGATCAAGAAAATATTTCCTAATGACGGGGGTGAGAGAGGGAGAGGAAAGCAACTAGTACCTATTTACTTAGAAATAAAAATAAAATTATGGGTTAAACTCAAATAGAATGGGCTATTTAATGTCATTAATGTCTCAGGGACACAAATAGGGAACTCAGGGCATGGGACAGGTGAGGTGTCAGCATCCGGTTGCATGATGCACTGTTCATAAATAGTGCATCATGCAACCGGATGGTGACACCTCACATGTCCCATGCATTGGGTCCCCTATTTGGGTCCTCGTAACAACACACATTTAATGCAAATGAGTTCCAACTAATTAAGGTAAGGAAAAATGATTTAAGGACCCAAAATATGGGACCAAGAAGGGGACAGGTGATGTGTCCCCTCCCTATTGCATAATGAGTTGGCCATGCCAACTCATTATGCAATAGAGAGAGGACACAACAACTGTCCCCTCCCTTGATCCCATATTTTGGGTCCCCGTAGCAGCACTCTTAAGGTAAGTAGGTATTGGACCATTGGGAATTATAAGCCTACAAGTATAGCTAATATATAGGATAGTTTATTTCTTAAATATTAATGACATCGGTACCAAAACAGACATATTAATAAACCAATGAATAAAAACATGCGCCCGCTAACACTCACAAACAAACAAATGAAATAGAGCCGGTAAAAGTACAGTACCTTAAAAAAAATCTTGACAATTATGAGAAGAAATCATCAAAGTTAAAATCTTAAGCTGGCAAGTCAGCACATCATGCTAGATATTTTTAGATCATGCAATTAGCTATAATTTCACTTATTCTCACTTCTTGTTTTATTTAATTAGCACTCTGCGCGTGTTTTTTTTCGTGGATGTACCTATAATGAGGAAATTTACTAACTTGCATGAAACTTACTTTTAAGGATTAGTATGGTGCATATGCATCACACACGTGCATACTTTAAAAACTAAATGTAGCAAATGTTGATCTTAATATATCTAAATCATACAATATATACGCGATTAAGTCAAAGAGGAGATTAACAGAAGAGCAGAAATCATACCTGAATCCATGAAGATTTGCACGGATCTGAATTAGGGTTTGATCTTCTAATCTTAAGAGTATCCCCTTTGGTTTATCTTTAGATGGAGATTTAGAGAACAGAGAACGTGTTACCCTTAGATTAGGGACCATAACCCATTTATATAGATATTGCTATTTTCTAATCTGGCCCCTCATCAAATTAGACTTTCAATCTGGTATCTACACAATTAGCCCATGACATATTTAAATACTCATTAACCCAATTAATTAATTGATCACTTTATGCAGGTTAACTTTAAAGATGGCAATACACAATAATTTAACATATGTGCACATAATTAGATTTAATCCAACAATCTCCCACTTGGGCGCCATATATTTCCTTAAAGTGTGTATAACCTTATGAGCTCAAAAATTACTATCACAAATAAGGGTATTTCCAAACAATCTCGTTCATTGACTATATCTATATAGGATCAAAGCAGTTTTCGTCATATTTATCGTGATTAAACCCATCAATGGTCACATATACCAATACAATCAAATGACATAGATCAATCATGGGTGTGTAACATGAAAATTACATGTAATGTGATCTGCATATGTCTATTTTTAACTGATCCTACTTTAAACTTTAGTGAGGTCAATTCCAAACATACTATAACAGAGTGTCTAACACTTTATTCTGATCAGACAAAAAACCAAACATAAAGTACCAAAAAATTACAAACTCCCATTAAATCATAATATCCTCAAATAATACCACACCCATATGAGCAGTGTGCTCATGAAAGACCTTGGATGGTAATCCTTTTGTAAGAGGATCTGCTATCATAGAGTTTGTCCCAATGTGTTCTATGGATATATGTTCACTTTGTACCATTTCTTTCACAACTAGGAACTTAATGTCAATGTGCTTTGACTTAGACGTGCTCTTGTTATTATTGGAATACATCACTGCTGATTTATTATCACAAAAAAACTTAAGTGATCTTTCAATATTTTCAGAATGTGCAATCTAGTGACAAAATTTCACAATCATATTCCATGATTAGATGCCTCATAGCAAGCTACAAACTCTACTTCATAGTGGAGGAGGCTAGAAGTGTCTGTTTGACACTTTTTCATGATATAGCTCCTCCTGTTAACTTATAGATATAGTCTGATGTAGACTTTCGGCTATCCTGGCATCCAGCAAAATCAGAATCAGAGTACCCGATGACCTCTAACTGTTTTGATTTTCTGTATGTGAGCATATAATCTTTTATTTTCTGCAGGTACCTCAGAACCCTTTTGACTGCTATCCAATGGTCCATACCAGTGTTGCTTAAGTATCTGCTTAACATATACCAACAATGTACGCAATATCCGGATGCGTACATACCTGAGCATATATTAGACTTCCTACAGCTGAAGCATAGGGAATCTTCTGCATTTCTTGTATTTCAAGGTTACCTTTAGGGCACTGATTTAGATTGAACTTATCTCCTTTAGGAACAAGGGTGTCACCTGGTCTATAATCTTGTATGCCAAACCTTTTGAGTACTTTATCGATATAGCTCTTTTGTGATAATCCAAGTATACCTTGAGAACAATCTCGATGTATCTGGATTCCTAATATAAAAGAGGCATCCCCAAGATCTTTCATCTCAAAATTCTTTAATAGAAATCTCTTGGTTTTGTGCAACATGCTTATATCATTAGTGGCAAACAATATGTCATCGACATACAGAATCAGGAAAATATATTTACTCCTACTGAAGTTGGGATATATACAGTCATCAATAATATTCATCTCAAAACCAAACGAGATAATTATTTATTAAAACTTG